TATTTTGTTTCCTAAGAAATAGGCAGGAAGTTCCTACATTCTTAGGATCAGATTTTTATTTTATTTATTTATTTTGAGACAGTCTCACTATGTTGTCCTTGGTAGAGAGGTGTCGCATCATAGCTCACAGCAACCTCAAATTCTTGGGCTTAAGTGATTCTCTTGCCACAGCCTCCCAAGTGGCTAGGACTACAGGTGCCCACCACAGTGCCTGGCTATATTTTTGTTGCAGTTGTCATTGTTGTTTAGCTGGCCTGGGCCGGGTTCAAACCCACTAGCCTCGGTACATGTGGCTGGCACCCTAACCACTGAGATACCGGTGCCGAGCCAAGGATGAGTTTTGTTGATTTTTTGTTTGTTTGTTTGTGTGTTTTTCTGTAGAAACAGAGTCTCACTTTATGGCCCTTGGTAGAGTGCCGTGGTGTCACACAGTTCACAGCAACCTCCAGTTCCTGGACTTAGGCAATTTTCTTGCCTCAGCCTCCCAAGTAGCTGGGATCACAGGTGCCTTCCACAACGCTCGTCTATTTTTTTGTTGCAGTTTGCTGGACTGGGTTTGAATCCTCCACCCTCAGTATATGGGGCCAGCACCATACTCACTAAGCCACAGGCGCCACCCTCAAGGATGAGATTTTTAATAATAACATTGTTGCTGGGGAACTGATTTAAAAGTGGAGTAGAGCCTGAGGAGAGTATTGAACATCAGATCTAATACTCTTTTTATTTATTTTTTCTTTCATTTTATGTTTTTTGAGATAGAGTCGCACTTTGTTGCCCTTAGTAGAATGCAGTGGTGTTGCAGCTCACAGCAACGTCAAACTCCTGGCCTTAAGTGATTCTTTTGCCTCAGCCTCACAAGAAGCTGGGACCCGCCACAATGACCAGCTATTTTTTAGATATGGGGTCTTGTCCTGGCTTAGGCTAGTCTCTAACCTGTAATCTCAGACAATCCACCCACCTCAGCCTCCCAGAGTGCTAGGATTACAGATGTGAGCCACCATGTCCGGGCGCCAGATCTAATATCTTGATTAGAATTGGTCTTGCTCTACCCAAGCACCAATCCTCTTGGTGTTGGGTATCTATGACTTGAGGAGCTTATGATTCTTTTCAACTTTCAGAATTCTAGAATCAAATATCTTCTTCTTAGAAGACATCCTAAAGGACTTGATCCAGACCTCTGAAGCATTCCTGATAGATAGCCCTTGTGGATTCTATGACTTACCTTTAGGGCTGAGTGCATTCTTCCTCTCTTTGGCTCTTTCCTTGTGTAGTCTCCAGGTGAAAAATATGCATCCAATGGTGAGAAGCCCTAGGACCACCAAGATGACAACCACAGCCACTATCCGGGGAGTCAGTCTTGGGAATAAAAGAGCTAAAACAAAATCCCCCATAAGAACATTATTTGAGAAACTCTCAGCAAGTCCATCTTCTCTGCTGATTC